CACTAAATAAATGTGAAAAGAAGGAAGGAAGAAAGGGAGGGACAGAGGGAGGGAGGGAGGGAATGGAAAAAAAATAAATCTCAGTATTGTGGAGTGAATTCCTGAGTGTGCCCTTGACCTTGACCCTAGTCCTTTCCTTGGAGGAGGTTAGATCAATCTGATTACCCAAAGTCCCAAATAGGATTATCAGAGTGAAGACTCAACCATCCAATCAGGTGATTGTGGATGGAAGGTGAGGCTGTGAAGGGGATGAATCAGTAGATAGTATTAAAAACCTTCAGAAAAGCCAGAGAAAAAAATGCTGAGTCCTGGAGCCTGGAGTCATTGTGGGGCCTTACTGGGACTCAGAGAACTATCAGGAGAGTCCATGTCTGGTAAGTCACTAACTCCATCTGAGCACATCTCACTCAACCTAGTTGATCTCCACTGGAGACTTCGGATTATTTTTATTTTATGTGTATGAGTTTTGTCTGCATGTATTGCTACGCAATTCCCGGATCCCCTGGAAATGGAGTTATGGATGATTCTTAGCCACCATGTGGGTGCTGGGAACTGAACTCAGGTCCTCTGGAACAGCAGCAAGTCAGCAAGTACTCTTAACCAATGAATTATTTCTCTGGTCTAAAAATTCTGATTTCTGCCTGGTGTGGTAGCGCATGCCTTTAATCCCAGCACTTGGGAGGCAGAGGCAGGTGGATCTCTGGTCTACATAGTGAGTTCCAGGACAGCTGGGGCTACAGGGAAACCCTGTCTAAAAAAGACCAAAAAAAAAAAAAATTCTGATTTCTTTCTTTTCAAATGCATAGATTGAAGACTGGTTTACACTCAAAATGCAGCTTTGCCTTCATTTTATCTCTTTGTGTGTGTGTGTGTGTTTTGTGCCTTCATTTTAAATATTGCTTTTAGTTTGTTAATTTGAGGTTTTTGTTTGTTTTGTTTTGGGTTTTTTTTTTTTTTTTTTTTTGTTTTTTTGAGCCTGTAGCCCTAGCTGCTGGAAGGATTAAAGGCCTGTGCCACCACGCCCAGTGGGTTTTTTGTGTTTTTTTTTGTTTGTTTGTTTTTAACAGGGTCTCTCTGTAGCCCCAGCTGGCCTAGAACTTGCTGTGTAGACTAGGCTGGCCTTGAAGTCACAAATATCCATCTGCCTCTGCTTCCCAAGTCCTAGAAATAAAGGCCTGTGCCACCATGCTGGGTTGTTTCAGTTTGTTTTGTTTGCTTTGAGATAAGATTTTACTATTTTGGCTAAACTGGCCTAGAACTGGCCATGTAGTTTGGACTGGCTGGAATTGGCAATAATTCTGCCTTTGTCTGCTGAATACTGGAATTACAAGTCTGTGTCATCATGCCCTGCTTCATCCTCCCAATTGCTGTGATTATAGGCTAAGCTATTCAAACATCTTGAATTCTGCTTTGGTTTATGTCATTTTAATTTTTAATTTTCCTGTGTTTATTTATTTGGGTTTTTTTTTCTTTTATTTATGGGTATGTGTGTGTCTGTGTGAGCACACCTTGTGTGTGCAGGTACCCACAGAGGGCAGAAGAGGGTGTTGGATCTGCTGAAACTGGAGTTAGAAGATCTAAGCTACTACACTACTGCATGTGGGCATAGGGAACTGAACTCTGAAGAGCAGTAAGAGGTCTTAACTGCTGACTGTCTCTCCAGTCCTACCCTAAAATTTCTCAAAGGTTTGTTTGTTTGTTTTTGTGAGGTGTGAAAAACCCATTGGATTGGAATTTATTTTGTTTTTGATTTAGCCGTCTGTTTTGAGACAGCTTCTTTGGTATCCCCAGCTAGCCTTGAAACATGACGCCCTACCCACCAACCCCATGTTGGAACATAGGTCCTGAGCCACAAAGTCTGAAGGAATTTGCTTTCTTGGTTATTAGTTGCTAATCCCTTTAATGATAGATCTTGTTTATTTAATTAGTTGCTAATCCCTTTAATGATAGATCTGGGATAACTTTTTTGTTTCTAGCAATTAAAATTCCTTTAACTGGACTTCAAAACAGTATTGGGAACAGGATATGATAACACAGACTGCTAATCTCGGCTACTCAGAGGCAGTTGGATTGCAAATTGGGTCATCCTGGGCTACTTGATAAGACCCTGGTAACAAATGAACTATATACATAATTTTTCTCCTGTGGCTAATCACTAATACAAATTCATCTGTCTTAGATTTGGTTTATATGCATGAAACTAAGCTAACAAAATCGAGGAACAGTACAGTTCATGAATTCATCTGGAATTACCTTCATAATCAACAAGATGCATGGAAGCATTATTTCAAAGATTAAAGCAGACAAACACATGAATTTTAAATCTATTCATAAGTTGGTATAAATGTAACACATCTGAGAAAATGCTTAAGCCAAAGGTCACGAACTTTATGGAATCATATTTCTTAGTTAAGACAGTCTCTGTTTTCATCCATTTGGAATTCTGCTCCCTTAAAATTTGTATCTTATGGGCTGGAGAGATGACTCAGTGGTTAAGAACACTTGCTGCTCTTACAGAGGACCAGAGTTCACTTCCCAATACCCACATGGAGGCTAACCATCTATAATACTGATGCCCTCTTCTGGCCTCTGGAGGCAGTATATGCGAAGTTGCTGATGGACCAACCCTGGCTCTTACAATCTTTCCACCTGCTCTTATGCAAGGTCCCTGAGCCATGGGTGGGTGAGGTTTAATATTGGAGTCTAGCTGGGCATGGTGGCACACGCCTTTAATCCCAGAACTTGGGAGGCAGAGGCAGGCAGATCTCTGTGAGTTCAAGGCCAGCCTGGTCTCCATAGTGAATCTAGACCAGCTAGGGCTACAGGAAGACCCTGTCTCAAAAAGACCAAAAAAAAAAAGGAAACAAGGCTGGCAATGGTTCAGAACTTTGTAGGCTGAGCTGAGCTGAGGCAGAAGGATCACCAGTTTCTGACTAACCTGGAATACATAGCAACACCTTGGAATGTAGCTTGGAATGTAACTCAGTGGTAGAACATTTGTCTAGAATGGGCCAGGCCCTGGATTCAAACTTTTAGAAATAAAATCTGAGGTAGAAGGACCCCACTGATACAACACAAAGAATACAGGAGCAAAGGGAAAGCAACCTGGCAAGGCAGGTTTTATCTCTGCAAAAGGATGTATAGAATTATTTGGACTGAGCTAAGCACACAGAGCAGGATATTTGACAGCTTCTTGTTCTAATGCAAGAATGTTGTTTCTTGCCCCATTGCTGTATCCAACCTCACACTATTTCAAGATTAGCTTGTTTTAAAAGAATTTGTATAAAGGAAAGGAAGGAAAGGGGGAGGGATCTGCTTCTCTGTCTATAAAATTCCTAGAATGCAGCTGGGATTTTGTTCAAAGTTTAACAAAATGAGAAGATTAAAGGAATACAAGGCTGAGCTGGGTGTGGTGGCATACCCCTTTAGTCCCAGCACTCTTAACCACTGACACATCTTTCTACCTCCGTATACAGTGTTTCTAAAGTACAGGCCTCTAACCAGACATGGTAGCTCAAAATGCAGTCAATCACTGCTGGGGGGCAAGAAGACTTTGAGATCCAATTCGACTCCTGGGTCATAGGCAACAGTATGGCTGAAAAAGCAAATAAACTGAGTTAAAACTTTTCCTGGAGTTTATTTTCTCACTGATTTCTTGCTGCAGATTCCAGTGCAGTAAGGGAGATCTGAAAAAATGTCAAACATGCATTAGACTCTCGATCCCTTCCAGGGGTAGTGACATGCCTTTAACCCAGCATTCAGGATGCAGAGGCAGGTGATCTCTGTTCTCTGTGAGTTCAAGGCCATCCAGAGCTACATAGTAAGAATTCATCTCAAAAAAAGAATTGTCCATCTCAATATTCTTTCCAGAGTCTCCATAATACTGTTAGATAACTTTCACAATTGGTTTTTTTGTTTGTTTGTTTGTTTTTTGGTCTTTTTGAGACAGGGTCTCCCTGTAGCCCCAGCTGGCCTGGAACTCACTATGTAGACCAGGCTGGCCTTGAACTCACAGAGATCCGCCTGCCTCTGCCTCCCGAGTGCTGGGATTAAAGGCATGTGCCACCACACCAGGCCCACAACTGGTTTTTAAAGACTTCTATTTTAAGGTGGCAAGATGGCTGAGGGTACTTGCCATCAAGCCTGACAATCTAAAATTGATTCCCAGGACCCACATGGTTGAAGGAGAGAAGTGGCTCCTGCAAGTCATCCTCTGCCCTTCACACTCACGTCTTGGCACACAAGTGCCTACACACAAACACGGTTCTGCATTTATACAAATGTAAAATGTCTTTCTTTCTTAGAGTAAATCTACACACACACACACACACACACACACACACACGAGCATAAATGGAAATTTTTTTAAGTTTTCTTTGGTTTATGTTCATGTGCTTGTGTTAGACAGTCTTGCTGTGTACCCAGGCTGCCATGCAATTTACAATCCTCCTGCCTTATTCTCCCAAATACATGGATAGAGCTAAGCAGGAGCACTCCACACTCTGAAGATTTTGAAAATGAAAGTAACTGACCCAACTTCATAGATTCTGAGTTGTTCCCAGTCTGGTCCCATTAACTGAACAGAGCATGTAGGGAAGTCTGACAGATAACCTTTCCTTTGTATTCAATTGAAGGGCATGAAAGGTGATCAGAGATGGTTCATCATGAAAGGATGGGGCTCAGCTTTCAGTCTCAAGATATTCATTTCTCAGTGGAATAGGATTGAGAGAAGCACAGATTGGAATGGGACAGGATAATTGAGATTCAATCACATGAGTGATTGTGAGAGGCCACCATGCTGCCAGTGAGGGATCTGTGGCTCAGACCACTGGATACTGAGTCAAATGAATCAACTGTGGTCTCTGTCATTGTCAGAGCAGCAACTCTGACCCTGAGTGGGTTCCTATAATGAAAGAAAAAAGGCTTCTTGAATCTCAGCCTGAAAGGATGTCTTTTCCAGGATGAGTCTCTTGACTCCTTCTGCCTGAACACCTGTAAGAATGAGCAAACAGACCCTACTCTTGGACCTCACAATGCAGAATTTGCTGAGGAATGAGGCCTTGACCCTCTCTGCCCTGGAGTACCTGCCCAAGGAGCTCTTCCCACCACTGTTCAAAACGGCCTTCACCAGCAGGCAAACTAACATCCTGAGAGCAATGGTTCAGGCTTGGCCCTTCCCCTGTCTTCCTCTGGGGGCCCTGATGAAGACTCCAGACCTAGATATCCTTCTCCTTCAGGCTGTGCTGGATGGGGTGGATATGCTGATTGCACACAAGGAGCAGCCCAGGTGAGAGACCCAGGTAGTATGAAGGGAGGATCTGAGGGTAGGGGAACGCCTTGGATCAAGGACAGTGGGGTCCAAGGTGGATCAGAGGCTTCTGATAACACTGGCTTGGGAGACTTCAGAGGCCATAGCCATTGCTGAGTCATCTGAGAAAGGACAATCAGGTGTGGAGAACAGCTTAGAGCAGATGCAGCCTAAGTAGATTGAGCCTGTCCAGGCCTCCTCCCACTGGTACTAACAGAGGGACCAGGAGGTATTCAAGGGGAATGGAATGGAGGGGAGTGAGATAGAAGTCTATAAATGTAGCTCAGGCCTGAGCCCTTCCTAAAGTGCATAAGTTCCTGGGTTTGATCCTCATAACTGAAAAAAAAAAAAAAAAAAGTAAATTTTCATGGCAGAGAGCAGAGAAATAACTGACATTTGAGATATGGAGTAACAGCAGATTTTTGGGTTTTGTCCTGTCTTTTGAGACTTGTGTTTTACCCACAGGAGGTGGAAACTACAGGTGCTTGATTTGCGTAATACACATCATAACTTCTGGAACATATGGGCTGGAACAAATGGTGGCTGCTCTCCACAGGTCAGGAGTAAGACACAAAGAATGGGGGACCAAGCAGTTTCCGGGGGGAAGAAGCAGCCTTTGAAGGTCTTAGTTGACCTTTGCTTCAAATGTCCTGATCTGGATGAATACCAAGAATACTTCCTCCAGTGGGCTGAGCGTAGAAAATATTTGCTCCAGCTGTGCTGTCAGAAGCTGCAGATTTGGGGAAAGCCTGTCTACTGTGTCTTAAGGCTTCTGGAAAGTTTTGAGCCATGTTATATCCAGGAGTTAGAAGTGAATACATGGTGGAAGCAACAAGCCCTGACATGGTTGACCCCTGATAAGAGTCAGATGAGAATCCTGCTGAAGGGAACCTACGAGAGTATAGAGTTACTTGAGCGTATGTACATAGATCTGGAGGAAAGGGTTATTACCACAATCATTTCTCACTTAGCCGATTTGAATACTCTTCGACATCTCCGTCTGAATGAAATGCATTTCTTTGAGGTCTCCCTGGACCAAGTGCTCAGGTAAGCAAAGATGAAGAGCTTTTTCTGAAATCCAGAGCCAAGATTTTCTTTGTTATATTACACAGTACTGGGCAACTGTGGTTTTCCAGCAGAGTTAACGGGGGAGGTGACATTAAAATATCAAAGCAGTGTCTTATTTCTGCTCTAGCCTCCTATGGTGTCATCTAGTCAATTCAGAAGGACACTTCTAGGTAGATGGCCTGGAAAGGATCTCCATGCTCCAGGGCCAGCTACAGGTGAAAACAGAACCACGGAGGGTGGGTTATGTATGATTGTTTCCTCTCTAAGCTAAGGGGATGGAATGGGAAAGAGAAGACAGCTCTGATGACAGGGAAGACACACACCTACCTACATTTGCTTAGTAACTGTGAATATGTGCCAGCCTGCCTCTAATGTGTGAAAACCTTTTTGAGCAAAAGAAGGGGCTAAGGAGATAGGGAAAAGACTGTGAACAGGATGTGAAGAGCAAGCAGGGGTCAGTGAACCCTATAGTTAGCACATCAAGGGATATTGCTAGATATCCTATGGGTTGGTCCTTCTGTGGTTTTCCTGCCCATCTTGTATGGCTAACCCTGTGGTTTTCTGGTTGACTATTGGAACTTCATGTCTGGACTGAGCCATTCCAACAGGGGTTAAAACTCCTCAGCCTAGACTGAAATAACTGAGTGAACAGACTCTCCATTAGGGAGCATCCTGGCTTAAACTTCACCTGGTCAGAATGACCTTGGCCCAAACTGTTCTCTTCTATCTTGAGGTTATATCCCAGTCTCTACTTTCCTGAACTAAACTGCTTTGTCTCTCCCTAGGTCCTTGAGGAGTTCCTTGGAGACCCTCGCAATCACTCACTGCCATCTTTCACAGTCAGACTTGAATTGTCTGTCCAAGTACCCAAGCACCTATCAGCTCAAGCACCTGAACTTGAGTGATGTCAAATTTTCCCGTTTACATGTAAGCCCCCTTAATGTTCTACTAGAGAGAGTTTCAGCCACTCTGCAGACCCTGGAATTGCAGGACTGTGAGATGAAGGACTCCCAGATCAAGACTGTCTTGCCTGCCCTAAGCCAATGTTCACAGCTCACCAAAGTCAATTTCTATGGAAACTACATCTCCACATCTGTTCTGAAGAATCTGTTGCACCACACGGCCAGTCTGAGCCATCTGACCTTGGAGCTGTACCCTGCCCCTATCGAGTGTTATAATGACATGGGTGGTTTCCTGGTAGAGAGATTTACCCAACTGGGTCCTGCACTCATGAATACACTGAGGGCTATAAGGAAGCCTGAGACAGTCTGCTTTGCCTCCAATACCTGCTTTAAGTGTTATGAACGTTGCACCTATATCCTGGACATGAGTCTATGTTCCTGTTGGTAGTAACTAGGGGAAGGTGATTTCTGGGCACTGGGAAATGAAACTCAAGTAGCTCATGAAGAGGATACAGAATGTTGCCTAGGGGGCTGGAGAGATGGCTCGGTGGTTAAAAGAACTAACTGCTTTTGCAGAGAACCCAGGTTCTATTTCCAGCATTCACATGGTGGCTAAACAACCATCCATAACTTCAATTCCGGGGGACACCCTTTTCTGACCTCCTCAGGCACCTATCTACATGCAAGCTGAACTATATTAGCAACTTAACCTAAGTTACTCCATCTTGCTTAGAATAGCTATTAACATAACCTCTTTTCATTTATGGGAAATATTTAAAAAGAGACAACAGCCTTGAGTTCTAAGAAATAGCTCAATCACAAACCAGTGAAACGTGCTAATCTCAGACATTCTACATCTGGCTAACTGCTTGTTTCCACTTCTGTAACTCGCTTGCTATTTTAGGTCACCTTGACACAAAGTATAAGACCAGCCTGCTATTGTGTGACCACCCAGTAACTGCTGATTTCGGCTTTCTTACTATACTTGTTACGGCTAGGAAGTTGACTAATTTTAAAATTACAAAGTTGATTGCCAAGTTATATGACTGTATCACTTGTCTGTATAATGATTGATTTTGATTTATAGATTCAAAGTTCTGCTATGTTGTACAAACCTGATTGGTTCACTAGTGTCCTTTTTGAATAATATTTCTGTAATCCTATAGAAACTCTGACCTGACAATCATCAGGGCTGCTTCTACTCCTGAGATAGCCTGACTGGTTGAAAAACAAAATTTACCTTACTATTCTTAAAGTGGTGCTGGTGATTTTTTTTTTTTTCACAAACTCCAACCTATAACACAAGCAATACATTCATACACATAAAATAAAAAAGAATGAAGAAAACATTTTTTTAAAAAAGAATCTTGCTTAGACGCCTCATATTTACCTTTTCAATAAAGAACAATCCTGAGTATAAAGAGAGAGAGAGAGAGAGAGAGAGAGAGAGAGAGAGAGAGAGAGAGATAGAGATTAAAAAAACGACATCAAGAACAAAGGGCTCAGGGAGACAGATGTCTTTTGGAGTCAGAAAGGTGACTGAATTTTTAAGGTGATTGTGCTCCTGACAAGTCAGGTAAATGACAGGTTTTTCTGCAATGGTGCTGGTAAAGTCATGGTCAGACCCAGGAACCCTGATGCTCTCCTTTGCTCTGTAGCTTCAGGGTCAACAAATCCCCACGACTGTAGAGAAGGGAAATGAAGCTGAAGCCCAAGAACTCAGCCTCAAAGTAAATCCACTCCATGGTTGTCATCCCAGTCTTCACTCATTTCTGGGCATTCGTTGAATCCCATGTGTGACTGTCTCAGGGAGTCGTGAGCACAGATTCAATCTAAAAAGAGCAGGGTGGAACCAGTGTCCAATGGTAGGGATTTAGTGAATGGCATGGGGTTTCAATCCAGGATACTCAAGCTATAAGTGATCAGAACAGTCATTCCCTGGGACTGGAATCAAATGGTTGGAAACAGAAGGTGTTATTGCAAAGGCCTTTGGAATTGGTCTTGAGAGATGGCTCAGTGGTTAAGAGCATGGACAGCTCTTGCAAGGAACCTAAGTTTAGCTCCCAGAACTTATGTCGGACAGCATCTACTGCTTATAACTCTAACTCTAGGAGGAGCTGATGCCCAGCCTCCACAAGTACCTGTATTCTGTGGATGCAAAAGCATAACTCTCACCTCAAAGGGAATAAGAGATAGTTTATTCTGGAGCCAAAACATGAGTGACCATGGCCCGGGAACATAGATTCAGGTTACCCCAAATTCCATGTTCCAACTTGGTAACAGTTTCATGAAGTTTTTATACTAAAAAGAACAACAACAACAAAAAGTCATAAATCAAGATATTTTTCAAATACATTGATAGAAACAATAAATAGGCAAATGCAACAAAAGAGAAGTCTCAGCTATAGGCTCAGAGGCTATCTGATGACATTCTTAGCCTTTTGATTGGTGGTAACTGTTTCTTTTAATGCATTCCATTAGTTACAAAAGTTAAATCAGAAACAGAAGTAAGCAAGGAATGGCTATTTAGGGCTAAACCCAAGATAATTGTAAAATGGGCTCTGGATCTGCAACATTCCAAACTCTCCACAGCCATTGAAGTGATAGTCAGTTGGTCAGTTTTGCAGGAAGTTCAGTTCACATATACACATACACATATTTAGAAATAAATAAACTTAAGGTTCCAGGTCTATGTAGAGTCCTGGAGGCTGGGGTCACTGCTTGGAGCTGTGAGAGCCCTGCCAAACTGGTCCAAATGTGTGACCTAGTGACTTTTAGCCAGCCTCCAGAGATAGCAGCAGCCAAACTGGCACACAGAACATTTCAATTTCTATCTCTAGATGAAAACTTTATGACTCTGGTTTTGGAAGGTTAAAGAAAAGAAACTAAACAGAATTTGATTTTGAGCTGGTTGTGATTGCTCCTACCTGTAATCCTGGACCCATGCAGGAGGATCTGAAGTTTTCAGTTTTACATAACTTTTTTCCCACTTTACTGAAACTTTATTACAATGCCCCAACAGAGCTACTTTTTCTTTTCAACATCTTGTTCTGCCACTTTTGGTCCTTTTTTCTTGGTTGTGGAAAAGTTGGGTTTTGTGTCACTGGCCATGGAAGACTGGCAGAAGCCATGTTCCTCTCTTCCTCTGTGATGCTGGCTTTCTCCTTTTTGTAGGTGTTTTGGGTGGGCATCACTCTTGTGTGTTGAGTCCCAGTTTGAGTTCTTCAGCAGAGCTGTCTCCCTTTACCTGAACAGAAGGCCTCTTGGGGTAAAGGATGAACTTGGAGGCTAGCCCTTCAGCCACCACGCTTTGGGATTTAGTGAATTTGTTTGTCTTCCTTGGGTCCACAGAGATGCTGATGGTCTGGCACTTTCTCAAGAATGCCAGTCACCATGAGCTCTTCCATGCTGAAGCCCCAGCCAGCTTGAACTTTGGTGTGGTGTCTCATCATGGAGCACCTTACTTAGGGCCCAGTGGGACCAGACCCATGTGAGGGGCAATGCAGAGAGCTGTCAGGGCCTTGCATCTCGAACCCTCCTTGCCAGCTGGTTGGATCAAGACCATTCACTACTGTCAGACCTTGTGGATTCTGGGCTTCAGTATCCTGACATTCCAGCTGGAGGCACCATGACTGCCTCCTGCCCCTGAGCAAGGCTTAGCTGAAAAGATCCAGTGCAACAAAGCACTTTGGGGTTTGGGGGGGCCCGCTACATAACAACATTGGGGCTACCCTGGGCTTCATGAGTTCCTCTCTCAATAAGAGAAAAAAAAATTCCTGGTTAATATCAGACCATTACAAGTTACTTCCTTAGGGGTTAAAGTCCCCCCCGCGCCCCGCCCCTTGGTTTCTTCCTGTCATTCCTCTTTCTCCCCTTCCCCTTCCATCTCATATATACATATATACAAAGTTACAATGGATTTCACAGGTCTGTTTTTCTCTTTAAGATGTTTTCTTTTAGGTTTGAGGGAGGGGCTCACTGTATAGCCTAGATTAGCCTCTAACCAGAAGCAATCCTCCTGACTTAGCCTCCTGAGTACTAGGAAAACAGGCTTGAGCTATAATGCCCAACTTAGACAAAGGGCCTTTTATAACCCAGGATGGTCTTAAACTCTCTATGAAGATGAAGATGACCTAGATCTCTTGATCATTCTACCTCCAACTCCCAAATTCTGAGATTATAGACCTAGGCTGCCACACTGCTGTTATTTGTGATGTTCTTATAGTGAGAGTATTTTTCCAATAATTTGAACTGAAACCAGGTGGAGAGGCATGCTTGTAGTTCCAATATTCTGGAGCCTGGGCTTAGAGTTCAAGGCCATCTTAGACTGTGTATGGAAATTCTATCTCAAAACAAATAAACAACTGGGAGGGGTGGCCCATGCCTTTAATCCCAGTACTCAGGAGGCAGATATTGGCAGATATCTATGAGATCAAGGTCTAGGTAGCAAGTTCTAGGCCAGCTAGGGCTATAGGGAGACCCTGTCTCAGTAAATAAATAAATAATAAATAAACAAGATAGATAAACATACACACACAACACAGCAGAGCAGGAGTCTTTTATTTTGCTTTTTGGCTTTTTCAGAGTCTAGCTATATATAGTCCAAGCTGGACTCAAACTCTCCACCTCAGTAACTCAAGTGCTAGCATAGGTAGACACCTGGCTGGATTTGAAGGAATTCAACAAGTTTGCTAGTTAGGCATGGTAACTCTGCCTTCTAATGCCAGAACTCTCCAGCCTGAGGTAGGAAGATGGTCTTGAGATCTAGGTCAACCTGGTCTACACAGTGAGTGGAGAGGCAAGCCTAGGCTACAGAACGAGAACCTGTCTCAAATAAACCAAGAAAGTTTGCTTAGTGTAATATTATCCAAATTCAATATGCTCTTGACAAGTTATTCTAAAGCTGTCAAAGTGGCAATTTTAAATAAAATTTCAATGACCTGAAATAAGCTTTATTATTAGTCTAATAAGGAAATTTCATTATTAAAGGTCACCCCTTAGTCAGGACAAATTAATATGACAATTGCCTGACTGAAAGTAAGAAAGGAGCGGGCTGGAGAGAAGGCTCAGCCTTTAAGAGCATTGGCTGTTCTTGCAGACTTCCCAGGTTCCATGCCCAGAACCTATATGGAAGCTGACAACTGTCTATAACTCCAGTTCTAAGGGGTCAGACACCCTCTCTGACCTTCATGGGCATTTAACACATATGTGCACTTATACATACGTGCATCCAAAGCACTTGTGCACAGAAAGATTACTAAATTAGTTTAAAAAATAAGATGGGTGACTAAGAAGTGTCAGCAGAGCTGGGCGTGGTGGCACACGCCTTTAATCCCAGCACTTGGAAGGCAGAAGCCTTTGTGAGTTTGAGGCCAGCCTGGTCTACATAGTGAGTTCCAGGCCAGCTGGGGCTACAGGGAGAACCTTTCTCAAAAAGACAAAAAAAAA